GCTCTTGGATGGCTTGGTCGATGAGCCGTATACTGCGCTCCACCTGTTGGACCGTAAAGTATCGAGGCGATAGCAAGACGGAGAAAACCTACAGAGTCACAAGCGGCACGAGTGAGATTGACCTTTTCTTCTCGATCACGAATGGATGCTTCAGAAAATTTGGCAATGATAGCGAGCATTTCTCGGCTACTCGGTTGGTTCGAGGGCACTGGCTGCAGCGGAACAGCAGGTGCAGGTTTTAAAGGAGACGGAGACGACGCGCTATATACGGGCGGCATAGACTGGTGATAAGCGGAAGAGCCTTCGTTTGAAACTTGAGGCGAGTCCTGCACAGTAGACGGTTCCTCCGAAGTCTCAGGCTCGGGGTCGGTAACCGGACCAACAACGGGTGGCGGCTGCGCATGAGCTCTGCGAAGTTGAACATACTTCATTACAGAGTCGAGCAAACTGGCTGTGTTCTCTGCAAGTGGCGTCAGGTCGTACGAGTTGAACGCGAGGTAAATCGACCTACTAGCATCTTGCTGGTCAAGCTCGCGGACCAAATCGAACCGCCGCCATAAACTCGAAGACAAGTCAAAGACTGTAAACCGCTGGGTCGGGACATCGTAGGACCGCGCCAGAAAGAATGGACGCTACCTTCGACGTGTTCATCTTTGAACGCGTCCCACACCTCGCGTTCTTTGTCGAGGCGATCCTGGCCGGTGCTCTCGACGTATTTGGGAGGCTCCTCATCGTCGACTATGGCGCCATGGAGCTCGTCGGCCTCGGGAAAGGCTTGCGAGCGGCGCCTTTTGCGGGAAGAACGGGCAGACATAATCGAGCGAACGCTTGGGCTTCTCGTTCTAACAACACCAAACATAATTTCAAGCATGAACCGCGGAGGTCAACGAGGAGGCTTCAGCCGCGGCGGAGGTATGTCCCACCGTCGAGCACTCTGGCTACCTCTCACTTGTTACAGGTCGTGGGGGTGGTCGGGGAGGCTTCCAGCAACGCGATTTCGGGCCTCCGGACACTGTTTTAGGCACATTCTCTGTTAATTTTTTTTTCTGCGCTCATACGTCCTTCCTCAGAAATGGGCTCTTTCGTCCACGCAGTTGAGGATGAGATGCTGTGTTCGTCTCTCATGCCCGACAAGGTCCCCTACTTCAATGCTCCCATTTACTTGCAAAACAAGTCGGTCATCGGCAAGGTCGACGAAATCCTTGGACCAATAAATGAGGTCTACTTTTCAATCAAGATGGGCGAAGGGATGGTCGCGAGCAGCTTCAAAAAAGGCGACAAAGTCTACATTGGCGGAGACAAGCTCCTGCCAATAGATAGATTTCTACCGAAACCAAAAGTCGCCGGAGGTTCGTCAGCTCGTCCTCTACTACGAACGAGCTACTGACTGCTAAAATCGGCTAGGTGTTACCAGTGAGCGCGCAACTATGCATACCTTGTCTATTTTCTTTAACTCAGGTATGTTACAGAACGAGGGCGCGGCAGAGGAGCACCCGGCGGACGAGGGGGGCGCGGCATGGCTGGCGGACGAGGCGGATTTCAGTCAAGAGGTGGTCCGCGTGGGGGAGGTCGTGGAGGGTCGAGGGGTGGATTCGGTGATCGTGGCCGGGGGGGATCAAGAGGAGCTGGTGGATTTGGTGGAGCTGGTGGATATGGTGGTGGTCGAGGCGGAGGAGGAGGGAGCTGGGGTGCGCGTGGTGGTGGTGGTGGTGGTGGTGGTGGTGGTGGGCGTGGAGGATTCCGAGGTTCATAGCTCCTAAATTTTTTTTCGCGCGACCCGTGTTGCTCGCTGAGCTGAGGGCTGCACTCTGGTAAGACAGACGCGATCACGTTGACGCCTGGGCCGGAATTTTTTATTGTAATTTTTGTGTTATTCGCGACATGTTCGCAATCCAAAAGGCACTATGGCTACCTTTGCGTAACGGAGTCGCGGATAGACCTGAGCTGAATCGTGGTAATCCGTGTTTGTAGTCCGAAACTACTACTCTGTTCTCGACCAAACAACCGTGATGGCCTTGCAGTTTTGGAAACCCGGTAACACAGGTCCCGGGAGTAGTCTTGACCGAGACACTGACGGAGAGGGTTTTGCTGTTCCATCCGCCATATCTTCCCTGTCCATCCAAAACCAACGGGAACGTCTTCCTATATTCAAACATCGCACGTATTCGCCCACTCTTCCAAGACATGGCCTTGAATTGCCCTTCCAGGGGATAAACTTCTCTACGCTGTCGAAAAATATGGAGTAATCATCGTCGTCGGCCAGACCGGCTGCGGCAAGACCACTCGTAACGTTTCTCAGTATTCATCCGTTCAAGCCTAACTCTTTCTTAGAGTTGCCACAATATCTCCTGGAATCTGGCTGGGCAGACAATGGGAACATTGTTGCTTGCACTCAGCCTCGCCGCGTGGCTGCCACCTCGGTTGCTGGGCGAGTAGCCTCTGAAGTCGGGTCCATCCTTGGGGACGAAGTGCGTGCAGTGCAAATTTCTCGCGTGCCTATTAATCCACGCCATTCGTTAGGTTGGCTATACCATACGGTTTGAAGATGTCAGTGACAAGGAAAGAACCCGGATACTGTACATGACGGACGGGATGCTCTTCCGTGAAACACTGGTCGATCCCCTACTGAGTCGGTACAGCGTAATCATGGTGAGTTAGTCGCGTTCATTTAGATCTGAGACCCTGATTTGAGCCAGATCGACGAAGCCCACGAACGTAGCGTCTATACGGATCTCCTGCTGGGTGTCTTGAAGAAGTACGCATTTCCAGTCGCCTTGAACCCCACTGACATGCAACGCATCAGAATACGGCGAAAGCGACCATCTCTCCGATTAATTGTCTCTTCGGCCACTCTCGATGCTACCTCTTTCCTCGACTATTTTACGTCGTCTACTTCACCCGAGGAGGCCACCATTGTTAGTCTCGAAGGCCGCATGTATCCCGTCGAAGTGGCGTATCTACAAGACCCCGTCCCCGACTACGTTAAGAAAGCAGCAGAAGTCGCCTGGAACATCAATTTGCAGGTGGGGATCATATCAATGGCTCGCAGTCTGTCACCAACCCTCCTCATAGCAAAGCGCCGGCGACATTTTGGTGTTTTTGACGGGCCGAGAAGATATCGAAAGATGTCTCGAGGAATTTTCGGACTTGCTACCAACGTTAGTGGTGACTTTTTGCAAGGATTTTCCCTGAATCTAAATGTGCCCAGCTTGCCTCGAACGGCCACGCGCTTGATACCCTTGGCTCTCCATGCTGGATTGTCGACTGATGAGCAACTACGCGTGTTTGAACCAGCTGACCGTGGTACTCGCAAGGTCATAATCGCTACCAATATTGCCGAAGTAACCTCTACTTACTCAACCGCTCGAATAAGCATTAAATTTATATTCTATAGGCGAGCGTGACTATCGAGGGAATCAAGTTCGTGGTTGACTGTGGCTTCGTCAAGGTGAGTGTTTATCATATCGTTCCACCGACACTAGTGCATCTGTCCCAGATCAGAGTATATAATCCGACAACGGCACTTGCCTCTTTGGCAACTGTTCCAACTTCTGTTGCGTCGGCGACACAGCGGGCAGGGCGAGCCGGACGTACCTCTCCTGGCATCTGCTATCGCCTGTACCCAATATCGGTGTTCAACTCTCTTCCTTTATCGACTCCGCCGGAAATTACTCGGACAGACATGACCACTCCTATCCTGCAGCTCAAGTCGCTAGGTATAGATGATCTCATGAAATTTGAATGGGTGTCAGCACCACCCGCAGAGAGTGTCCTGAGAGCATTGGAAGGACTCGTAGCCGCAGGGATGATCGGAGAAGACGGCCGCCTGACTGTGATCGGAGAGCAGGTTGCAGAGTGCCCCGTTGAAGTGGGCATCGCGCGAATGGTTAGTGCGACAATATTCTATTACAGTGTCTCTGATTGCTGGTCTAGTTGTTTAGTTCAAAGGAGCTAAAGTGCGGAGAGGAGGTATTGACCATCGCTGCGATGACATCTGTTCAGGTGTGTTATGTATTCATTCTGTTTTACGACTCTGATTGCATGCACGTAGGATGTCTTTGTGATCCCCGATGGAGCCCAAGGCGCTTTGGCTGAACTTGAACGACGAAAATTCACTGCGGAAGAAGGGGTCAATTCTAATTCTTTCCTTGCGCGACGCCAGCTTACAGGACAGCTCATAGGACCATCTCACATTGCTAAATGGCATGTCGTTCCCTCGATCCTCGTACATACCTTTCTAATTCCCCGACAGCCTATAATGCGTTCACAAGATATGGCCGTTCCTCAGGGTGGTGCAAATCACACGCATTATCATTCCGCGCGATGTCGCGTGCTGTTTCTATTCGTTCTCAGCTAAAGAAATATATGCAACGCTTCAACTTGCCTACCGAAAGCTGTGAAGGGGACGCAAAACGACTACGCCGGTGTCTTGTAAGCGGGTATTGGCGCAACGGAGCTAGGTGGGTTGCCGATGGGACCTACCGGTCGGTGAGAGGCAACCGGGTATGACAGTTGTTCTGTTATCATCTTATTTATCCTGACCATTGCTCCAGACGTTACACGTGCACCCGACGTCAGTACTCTTCACACGCAAACCCCGCTCTGGATGGGTTATCTTTCACGAAATGGAAGAAACCAAAAAGACTCAGTGAGCTTGTACAATCTGGTCAAGTAGATCTGGCGTAATTTCCCCAACTCAGAATCCGTATTATCACTGAAATCGAGCCCGATTGGTTAGTGGATCATGGGCACAAATTTCATGACAAGCGAGTCGAGGGTCGACAATAAGAAACGCGGGGTATACATACTTGTTTTTGGTCGTTGGAGGTTATTCTTGCCCATTCCACGCAGAAGGAATGCTAACCTGATGGCAGAAAGGAAGTTCTACTCGCAAAAGGAAACGAGACGGAACATTAGTCTGCCATAGTCAGATTCCACAAAGTTTTATGATAGTCGAAAAAACTTCAGTAATGTAACATAAAACAAATAACAAAAAGGGCTGGACGCACAGGGGTTTGAACCCTGGACCGCATACAAAGATTTACGTAAGACGATTACATAACGCTCGTGCAAAGCATGAGTGATACCACTACACCATACGCCCATAAGAGAGTCATCTCATCAACTACCCTAAGGTTCGAAAAGAAGTTTAAGCAACAGGTCAAAGCTAGTTAACTTGCAAGGTGGGTACAATTCAATTAATTATACAAGTTTCAAATTTCACAGTCCAAGGAAAATCAAGGTAGACGGACGGGTATATACGAGCATAATCTGCTTAAATAGCAGAGTCACCAGCCTCGTCTAGACAGCGAAGTTTGAGGAATACATCACTGCCCCAGCCTTCTAAAGACATCAGCCGCAGCTCACCACCAAAGTACCTGCCAATGACGAGGAATTTGAGCCCGGGTATGCATATGAAACCACGGAAACTTACGCGGCGTAAAGTTTGCTCATGGGGAGTCCATAGCCCAACCCAGCGATTGTCCCCATTCCAGTCTGGAGACCCTTGGAAGTTATCTCGCTGAACAGATTAGTATCTCCGCCGCTGATGTTAGCGAGCCCCCCAACGTGTTGGGCAGCATACGGCCCGCCTCCCCCGTCCGCATCGTGGTCAACATCTTCACTCTTTGCAGTGGTAAATGCGTAAGAGAAGATTCGTGCCATATTACTCGGCGACACTCCGCCTCCCTCGTCTCGGATGCGTATTGAAAAGAAATTGGAGTGCACGGCTCCGGTTCCTGGTGTGGGCGGAGATAGTGTAATGCGCACGGGCGGGAGGGTGCGTTGAGACGCCTTGTGGTACTCTACTGTCGCGCGGAACGAATTCTTTAATATTTCGGTAAGAATGTACTCAAGGTGCACGGGGACATATCTGCACACTCGTAAGCTCCGATGGACAGTCAAGAAATGAACACGCACGCAAATGTCGCGTCTGGGTGCCCGTCGATCATGACGGAAGGGCTCGCACCGAGAGTCGCCGAGCACAGTTCCGTAACATAAGACTCGCACATGCGGATCATCTGCGATGGTGAACACTGCATGTCAACGACGCCGATGTTGCCGACCTCTTCCTGAGAGGCAGCCTCCAGTGCGTGCGAGATCGCGATGTGCTGCTCAGCGATGAGGCGCACTGATATCCGGTTGCGGATCGCGCCGTCTAGGAAATTGCTAATTTGCGTCGGAGACATGTACTTTGCACTCTCTAGAAATCTGAATTGGGGGCATTGTTTCACAGCGGAGAGGCAACGTAGTGGGACTACGAACCCTTTTGCCATCGTCGGGATGTCGTTGGCGTGCCTTTGAACAAGATCCTCAAGTTGTTCCGCGAACCGCTTGTTTTGCTCAAGGGTAGTTACAGCAGGATAACTGTGTAGAGGATGAACCTGCCGCTGCCGCTTTGCGGAATGAAAGCTGCTAACGTGGCAAGAAGTTGGAAGCTGTCTCTGTACGCATTGAGCGTGTTGGCAACGTAGGGGTTGGTTCCAACTATGAAAGGAAGAGATTCCAGAGACCGCACGCGCATTGCGAGCCGCCGGGGTATCTCGGCGAGGGCATAGGTCACAGACGCCAGGACCAAAGTTGGGGTTACCTTTTCAACAACGGGTGAGCCTAAATCAAGACTTGGGGTAGGATATTACAGGGCGGCCGTAAGAAAGGAGAGATGCAAGGTCGAGAGGACGCGGGGGAGACGAGGCATATCTTTGAAGGAGTTGGGTGAGCTCCACACGGACGTGGGATTTCAACATGAGAGCAAAGGAAGCAGATCAAGGCTGTGTTTTCCATTATCCAGAATTGCAGAGTGGATTGCAGAATTATGGTACGTGCTAGAACTAGAACAACGAAAACAACAGAAGCAGATATGGGAATACAGCAGACCGGGTATGAGCCAGGACTTTTAAATGAATTAGTCTAAACTCCTCAGCATGGTCAAGAATAATAAAAACGCCCAAAAATATATAGCTCATTTTCCAGCCGTCGTCTGCATCGCAAGTCAGCTTGACTCTCCGCGAGGAACATTAGAAAAACTCACAGCAATCCCATTCAGTGTTCGACTGGAGTGGTAGGTCGAGAGACCCTGATTTTGTGCGGTCCTGTACGACCGCGACGATCCGAGCGTTGAAGGTAGCGAAGAATTACTCGGGGTCGTCGGGGCACCGTTTCCAGTCGTTCGGGATGTCCGCGCCGTGAGAGGTGTTGGCGCACTGATCAGTGATTTCTTTGGTGTCTCCAGCACTTGTTTGACGCGGCTACTCCCCAGTGTTGACGACGAGAGTGTCGCTTTCGGCGTCGTGGATGCCGGGGCAGCCTTGGGGCGTTTCCCCGCAGTCACAAACGGATGTCTCATGGCCGCTTGGGGCTTGATCCGCCGCTCGGGATCCCAGACTAGGCACTTTGAAATGAAGTCGACAAATTCTTCGTCGTTGCATCTCAGAACTTGGGCAAGTGTCTTGGTACCAGGCCTCCTCCGTCGGCCTTTGGAGTTGATTACTGCACGAGGAGCCCCATTGGGATCTATAGAAGGAAATCAGCTGGATGTTGCGCAAGATGATAAAATGGAGACTCGCCGAAAAAGAGTTTCTTCCGAGAGCTGCGGTTCACAAACTCCTTGTCCGGAGTACCAAGGACCTCCATGATGCAGGAGAGCTGCTCTTGTTCATTCTCACCGGGGAAAATAGGGAAGCCCGTATACAACTCTGCCAAAATGCAGCCCAAACTCCACATGTCGATAGCCATATGGTAGTTCATACCAAGGATCACTTCGGGGGACCGGTAGAACCGACTTTGAATATAAGTATAGACTAAAAACATCCGGTTAGTGTTGAGCGATGGCCGGGCATGACCACGAACTCGACGAACTTTTCTCATGCTCGAGACAGCTGCTACCAAAGTCAATGACCTTGATGGCACTCTTAGCAGGGTGGCGGAGCAGTACGTTCTAAACAAACTGCATCAAAATTTGGACAAGGAATATAATGTGAACACCGACCTCTGGTTTAAGATCGCAGTGGACGATACGATGATGCCGCATCAGTGAGAGGGATAACAGCATTTGGCTGGTAAAGCGCCTGATCAATGCGGTTGTAAAGCCCACGAAACCGTTAGCCTTGATCAGCTCATAAAGATTAATGCTGAGCAGCTCCATCGCAATGCACAAGTGGTTCCGGAAGTAGAAATGTTCCGTCATTTTGATGACGTGGTGTTTTTCCTCAGCATCCTAAGAAAATGTGTTAGCTGAAGAGTTAATCGCGAACAAAGGGAGAGCTTGCCCATTTGCGAAGGTTGTCAAGGATCTTGATCTCCACTAGTGCTTGGTGGTGGAATCGCTTCTTGTTCCGGATGATCTTAATTGCAACGGACTCCCCGGTGCAGTGATCCCGACAATGCAATACTTGTCCGAAAGATCCTTTCCCCAGCGTGTCGATGATCTCGTACCGGTAGGCAAGATGATCGTGGTTAACGATAAGATAGTCGCCTCGGTCGTCATCGTACCCATAATTGTTGATTGAGTTATCCAACACTGCAGCCTTCTTCTTGCTCCTGGCACCAATGCAGTATACAGACGGAAAGTCGAGAATCTCTTTACGCTCAAATTCAGAGAGAAACTGATTCTGGGAGCTTTTGAGGATCGCTAAGAGTTTCGTTGGTTAGCGCCTGGTGATAGGAATAGACATATAAATAATTGACTGACCTGCTGGCGTAGAAGGAGTGCCTGGTGGTAAAGGCTCCGGAAAGCACAAAAGCTCGTCCAGCTCCTCTTGCGTAGCCCCGGATGCCATTTTCTTGGCCTGCTGTCGGCGGATGTAGTGCATCATCTCCTCATCACCTTGAACCTCCTCGTCGTCCACAGAGCTAGGAGCTGGGGACGGAGTAGACAACGATTGGCGGCTCGAGGATGGAGAGTTTGCAACCTGTTGAATACTCTGGGTGGAGGTGGAGTTGGAAACACGTGTCGAAGAAAGCCCGATCTTGGGACTGAGTAGTTTCAACCCCCGAGATGGGGAAAGCGCCGAGAATCGGTGAGAGGATGTCTCTGTGGCCGCGGCTGTGGACGCAGAAGCGACCGAACTGGTCGACGACTTGCGGAGACCAGTGAATGAAATAGAATCACGATTCGATTTACGTGTCAGGACGCTTGACGAAGATGAGGCGGCCGTCGCTGTCGATTGTCGGGGAACGCGAGACGTGGACACCGTCGCGGGAGACCCCCGAACTGACGCGTTCCGAGCTGGACCAGAGACAGCTTTAGACTGACCGTCCTCGCTCTCCATCACACCAAATTCATTCGCCGACATGCCAGTCGGTGAAGGATTCGTGGAAGACGATACTCCACTGACGGTAGCACTGGCACGACGGCTGTTGAAGGCCCCCTTCTGCATGGGTGAACCGACCGTGGATGTCCGACTCGAAATACGGGGGATCTTGGTCGGCGTTTCCTTCGGCAAGCCTGAAACCGAGTTGGTCAAGGACGATGGAGGGGGCTCTTTCCCTTCCTTTGATGCCTGTACACCATTTGTCCCAGTTGTTCCAACGGAAGGAGATCCGGCGATCGTGGGTAACACGTTGCGAGCGCGCAGCGAGCTATCAGACTGCTTTTGCATGGAGCTCACTGTTTGCGAGGTGAGCCTTGATGCAGAAGCTGTCCGCGTTGTACTGCTTGGGGTAGAGGAAGGTGTCGAATTAGTGGAAGAAGTGGATTTGAGTCGAGCAACTCGTTGGGCCGTTGCTGGCTCTAAAGCAGCCATTTGTATAGGAGGAAGGTGAACGGGTGACTTCGTTTTTCGAACTGGAGGTTCCGTAGAAGAAAGAGTCTGATGAAGCAAGCCAATGAGTTGAAGGCGATAATAAAATACTGTGCACACAATACCTTTCCTCGTTTCCTTCCCATCAAAACAGAGATCCTGCTCTCGCTGCGATCCTTGTCGTCTTTCTTCTGTTTCTCCTTCTCGGCTTTCGCTAGCTTCTCTTTCTCTTTTTCAGCATCCTTGGCCTTCTGAAGTTCTTTCGCTGCCTCCTTGGAATCTGCGTGCAAACTCCGCCTCGAGGTGGATCCCTTGAGGAGAGAAAGTACGGAAGACTTCTTGCCGGGAGTGGACGTCGATATGG